TTTTTTTTTTTTTTTTTTTTTTTTTTGCAGATGAGGCTCAGTGAGAGAAAAAGAGCCACGCAGAAAACCTGTGGTACAGCTGGAACCTCAATTCCAAGTCTCCTTCCTCTGCTCCATCCACACTTGTGGATAGTTTGAAGCGTTCATGGGAGGCATTTATTAAAGTAAATGCCTTTTTAGGGGCTGGTGTGTAGCTCAGTGGTAGCATATGGAAGGCTCTGAGTTCAATCCTCAAAACAAGTCAAAACAAAACAAAAGTAGATGTCTTTTTACAGAAGAGCCCCTTGGGGCTTTATTGTCCTTAAATCCCTCTTACAGCTTCCTGACCTTCACCCCAAGTCTTTTCTAGCTTTCGTTCTGCCCAGTGGGGAAAGTGACTATTTGGACTAAGTTGGGAGCCTGGCCTTTGCCTGTGTTAGCTGTTGGACTCACACCACTTTGAGTGGTATAACTCAGGACTTGTTTTGCTGTTTGAGAGCCAGAAGGGATGTTATTGGCAGGATTGGGTCTGGCTAGCTATGTGGGTAGAAGGGCACCTTTTCCTGTCCAGTAGATTGGGCCCTGTAGCACATAGCCACATGAAATGCTTGGGGATTTCCCCAAGGTTCCTCCATGGGTCAGTCTGTGCTGCTACTCCTGATTTTTATTTTATTTTATGGGACTGCGGATGGAACCCAGGGCCGTCACACTGAGCTACATCCCCAGACCCTCTCTTTTTAAAGTTTTTATTTTGAGACAGGGTCTCACTAAATCCTTAAATTTCCCAGAATGGGCTCAAACTTTCTATCCTCTTGCCTCAGCCTCCTAAAGTGCTGGAATTAAAAAAATTTATTTTTTATTTTTAAAAAATTATTTATTTTTTGGAATTGGGGATTGAACTCAGGACCTTGTGCAGCAGCCAGGGGACCACTGAGCTAAATCCCTGGCCCAGTGCTGGGATTTTAGATGTGAGCTACCTTACCCAGCTGCTACTCCTGATTTGTACCTTGCTCTCTTGCTGAACTGAGTGCTGGGATTCCTCAGGTTGTGTCCCCTGCTGCTGAGCCTGTACCTTTGCCACACAGAACCAGCATTTCCAGGCTTCCTAGCCTAGTCCCAGGACCTAATGAAAGAGCAGGGTGGAAGTGAGTGGGCTTAAGGTCAGTTGGTGGGACAGTCAGCCCCCTGGCAGCAGAAGTGGTAAAGAGGCAAAGCACAAGTGCCAAAAAGGGCATTGGCCTGGGCGACAGCTCAGAAGTACAAGAGGTGGAAAAGGGGTGGAGCTGGAGCCCACTGGTGGGAATTGCTCCTTTTGTGAATGATTAACTGTCAACCAAAGGGGTGACTTAGGAGGAGGGGCCAGGAACTTTGGACCTGGGGCATGAGTATCCAGAAGGCCAGTGTGTGATCTGCAGAAGAGGAGGACTTGGTAGGTGGCAGGACTGGGCTGCAAGGACTGTAGTGAGATCAGGTAGCTATGTGCTTCAAGAAGTCTCCTTGACCTATTAGATAGTTCATTCTTGCAGCGGCAGCTATGGGGGTCTACCAGCCCTAAGCCCTTGGAGGGTTGCCCATAGTAGGCATTCTGTCTCTGGCCTCACTTGTGCTTTCTTCCCCCTAGGCAGTCATGGGTACAAGGTGATGCTGAGAGCAGAGGGGCATGGCTGCAGCCCTGCAGGTTCTGCCCTGTCTGGTCCGAGCCCCTTCACGTCTCCTCTTCTGGGGCCCCCCAGTGGCCCGGCTGGTCAGCGGCATGGCCTTGTCAGAGCAGGCGCGACAGCTGTTTGAGAGTGCTGTGGGTGCTGTGCAGCCGGGGCCCATGCTGCAAAGGGCACTGTCCTTGGATCCAGATGGCAGACAGCTGAAGGTGCGGGACCGGAGCTTCCAGCTGCAGCAAAACCTGTACCTCGTTGGCTTTGGCAAGGCTGTACTCGGCATGGCAGCTGCAGTGGAGGAGCTACTGGGCCAGCATCTTGTGCAGGGTGTGATCAGTGTTCCCAAAGGGATCCGTGCTGCCATGGAACATGCTGGCAAGCAGTAAGGAGCCATGGGGGACTGCTCTCCACTTTCCTGGATTGTCTTTTCCTCACCAGCTTCTCTTTCCTCCTGAGTCTGGCCTGGCCCCAGGAAGGATGTCAGGGGGCATCCTTGTTTATGTCCCTTTCACATATACAGCTGAGAAATCAGTGGGAGGAGAGGAGCCCACCCTATTTCTTCCTCTGTGTTTTCTCCCTCCTCAGGGAGATATTGCTGAAGCCACACAGCCGTATCCAGGTATTTGAGGGTGCGGAGGACAACTTACCAGATCGTGATGCACTTCGGGCTGCACTGGCCATCCGGGATCTGGCAGAGAGACTCACAGCTGATGACCTACTGCTTGTGCTTATCTCAGGTGCGGGTGCAAGATTGGCTCAGGACAGCTGGCAGGGGTGTGTTCCAAATGCCAGATCTTTGAGAAACTGATCTGGGCCCCCAGAGTCATAAGGTGAAGTTGGGGGCAAGTGAGGCAATGAGGAGCCTGGATGGTGCCTCCTATCTGGCTTTGGTCCAGCCATCTGTCTTCCCCTCAGCTGCAGGGTCCTCCCCACCCCCAACTGACCTTGTTGGGTGATGCTAAAAGGGCACAAAAGGGAGGGGCACCTCACACAGGCACCTAATGGAGGGCCTGGCACCTCAGAGCCCTTGGAAAATGTCGCTCTTAACTGCTGCTGTCTGTACCACTGTCATCCAGGATTAGAACTTAGTCTCCAGTCCTCATAGAGTCCCCTCCTTAGTCTTCTGCTTTTCCCCCTGCTCTGTTCCATGTTCCAGGCTCTTCAGGGATGGTTAGTTCTTCCAGTGCTGGCAGAGACCTCTGGGTTACCCCATGGCAGGGGACATGGCCACTCTGGTGGCCCAGGCATAGTGACTATGCACACGCATACTACATGTCCACATGGGGGCGTCCTAATCCCACTCTCCCAGCTCACTTCTGTCACAGGCCTGTCACTGTCTGGTTCTTTGGATTGAGATCCCCTCCGTCTGACACTCTTACTGACCATGCAGGTGGGGGCTCGGCCCTGCTGCCTGCCCCCATCCCACCTGTCACCTTGGAGGAGAAACAGATGCTCACCAAGCTGCTGGCGGCCCGTGGAGCCACCATCCAGGAGCTGAACACCATCCGAAAGGCCCTGTCCCAGCTCAAGGGTGGAGGGCTGGCTCAGGCTGCCTACCCTGCCCAGGTATGTGAGTTGCTTCTTCCTCAGGCAGCACTGGGCCCCCCACATATGACAGAGATGAAAGCCTAGTCAGCATACAAATTGGCAGGGGCCTGGTGTGAGAGTTCACATGACCAGGCTGGGAGAAGCCCTAGAAGGGGCCCCAGGGAGTGGGAGGGTGTCCCCATGGTGAAGTGTTCTGCAGTCCTACTTGAGAGTTGTTAAAAGTGGGCAGGGAGGCTGGCCATGGTGGCACATGGGTGGCTGAGGCAGGAGGATCTCACATTTGAGCCCAGCCTGGGCAACTTAGTGAGAACCTGTCTCAAAATAAAATATGAAAAAGGGCTGGGGATATAGCTCAGTGTGAATGCTAGGGTTCAATTCCTAGTACTGAAGAAGAAGGAGGAGGAGGAGGAGGGGGAGGGGGAGGGGGAAGGGAAAGGGAAGGGGAAGGGGAAGGAGAAATGAGACAGGAGGAAATGCACTGGATGGAAGATACCCAGGGGGCAGTTTGTCGTTGTAGACTCTGGTTCGAGGAGAAGGTGGGATTGAGTCTTGTGCTGTGGCCCTTCTCAGGTGGTGAGCCTGATCCTGTCAGATGTGGTGGGAGACCCTGTGGAGGTGATTGCCAGCGGCCCCACTGTGGCTAGCACTCACAACGTGCAAGATTGTCTGTACATCCTCAATCGCTATGGACTTCGCGGTGCCCTGCCACGTTCTGTGAAGACCGTGCTTGCTCAGGCCGACTCTGACCCCCATGGGCCACACACCTGTGGTCATGTCCTCAATGTGATCATTGGCTCTAATGTGTTGGCACTGGCTGAGGCTCAGAGGCAGGCCCAGCTGCTGGGCTACCGGGCTGTGGTGCTGAGTGCAGCCATACAGGGTGATGTGAAAAGTGTGGCTCAGTTCTATGGGCTGCTAGCCCATGTGGCTGGAGCGCATCTCATCCCATCCACAGCTATGGCCTCAGTGGACGAGACTGTAAAACTCCGTGAGCTTGCAGCTAAGCTCCAGCTCTCAGACCTGCAGCTGGAGGAGGTGCTGGAGGTTGTAGTGGAGGCTAAGGGCCCTGTCTGCCTGCTGGCTGGTGGGGAGCCCACAGTACAGCTGCAGGGCTCCGGCAAGGGTGGCCGGAACCAGGAACTGGCCCTGCGTGTTGGAGCAGAGCTTGCAAGATGGTCTCTGGGGCCTGTTGATGTACTGTTTTTGAGTGGTGGCACTGATGGGCAGGATGGGCCCACTGAGGCTGCTGGGGCCTGGGTCATGCCTGAGCTTAAGAGCCAGGCAGCTGCTGAGGGGCTGGATGTGACCACTTTCCTAGCCCACAATGACACACATACCTTCTTCTGCCGCCTTCAGGGTGGAAAACACCTGTTATACACAGGGCTGACAGGTACCAACGTCATGGATGCCCACCTTCTGTTGCTGCGGCCTCAGTGATGGCATAGGTTCAGAAAAGAGCAGAGTCTACAAGAGCAGAGTCTTAGGGAAGACCAGAATGGGTCTCTAGGGCCTTGTTGTGCTTTAGGGCTCCTCCCCTCCTCAGCCCTAGCTGCTTGGTTGGCTCTCCCACCTCTCTGAGGTTTGTAGATGGGAGCTCCCCTCCACCCCTGCTTTCTGTCATGGCAGCAGGCAGTCCTGAAGACTGGCCTTTTGGCCAGTTAACTGTCCTAGTTCTCCCCTGGTCAGTCTCGGAGCATCTCTTAAGCCTGTTTCTTCTGTGGAGTGAAGCTAGAAAGACTGGAAATAAAAAGGACCACACTGTGTGTTTTATGTTTATCTTTCCTTATGTGTATCTCCCTTGAGACTTGCAGGGAACTGTTGGGGAGGGGAGTGTGGTATGGCTATAGCCATGGTGCCGAAACCTGGCAGGAATTTCCTCTGCTCCTCTGGTGGGCACACAGGGCTTATTTCATATAAATGGGAGGCTGTGTTTGCCTCTTTAGGACCTGGTTCCCAATAGCCTCAATGTGAGTGAGCAGAGGCAGGTGTAAAGATTGCCACCATCCAACCATGACTCCCAGTGGCATCCTTGGCAGTCTCTCCAACTTCCTGTATGCTTTGTTGGGTGAATGTTTACCACTTGCCACCAAGGACATCCCTTCTGTATTTGGGCAGCCCTTAGCTTTGGTTGAGTTGTACTCTGTCCCACTTCCTAGCCATCTGTTTATCCAGGGGCTTCTCCAGCCCACAAGACACTGGACCTTTTTTTCTTGTTGCCAACTCCATTTTCCTAGGCTGAACATCCGCAGGTCCTTCAACCAACTCTGGGACACAGTTCAGATATGGTGCCAGGCCTTCAGTGGGGTCTCCAAGCATCGAAATGAGGTCAGAGCAGTGAAGGGGTCCAACAGCCCCTTTTGTTACAGCTGGTGAGAAAATCAGTAAGGAGGAGAATAGCAGCAGAATGCTCCCTTGGGTTGGCTGGAAGCCTGGGTTGGGAGAAGGTGCCATTGTCCAATCTCACCTTCAGGTCCTCTTGCTCAATGTCCGAGCCCTCCGCTGGCTATCCTCGCCGTGCGCCACGGCTCCAATCCCTATATGAGTGAGCAGTAGAATCACATAGGAATAAAAAGCCATAGAGAACAGCGAGGCCTGGGGCTGCTCCTGTGGTCCTGGCCTCCACCCTGAGGGTGGAGAGGGCTCTAGGCCAGAGCTGTGTGCCTCCTTGGGAAGATCCTCCTTTTCCCCACTTGGGTTCTGCACAGTCTATTTAGCAGGGGTTCATGACATTGAGACTTGGCTCATGCAAAGCAGGCTCTGGGGGTCAGGAGGGAGGAGAGAAAGGCAAGCTGGGCTTGGGACCAGGAAGGTTTAGGGAAGGAGAGAGCTTGTGTCACTTTCTGTCCTGTTGACCTTGACCAGCATCTCAGGATGTTGTCCTCACACATCAGTGCTTGTGCTGTAGTGTTCTAACAGCCCTAGATGTGCCCTCCCAGCCTCTGCCCTCACCCTTGGGAGTGGATTAGTACAGGGTGCCAAGTTGCAGGCAAGGGCAGGCAGGAGGGCTGCATTCAGTGTGTGTGTGTGTGTGTGTGCGTGTGCGTGTGCGTGTGTGTGTGTGTGTGTGTGTGTCTGGTGCTGCTCATGACCAGTCACTGAGCAGGCTTCAGGCAAGGGTGCCCTATAGACTGGCAGAGGCTGATTGGCAAAGGAGCTTGTGTTCCTGGAAGAGGGAGTTGGTTAACTTCACACTGGTAGCAGTGGAAAGCCTCATGAAGATTTCATCAGGGAATTGATGGCATTAGGTTGTTTCAGGACTTTGATGCTGGGGGTAACTTTCCTTTGCAGGGGGTGGTGATACAGAAGGTAGGGTGTGGCATAGCTGGCTGGGGAAATAAGTGGAACCTGTCAATTACAAGATCTCAAGACAGTGCCAGATAACTTCCAGGACCCCATGTGTGGAACTTCTTGTGGCTTCCCACGAGATGTGGATGACATATAAGGACACAGACACCATGAGTCCACTCCATGACTCCTCATTGTAACCCACTCTGCGTCAGCTGCAGACTGCACTTTTATTTTTTGCTTTTATCCTTTCCTCTCTTTATTCAGCCTGTTTGCTCTACAGTCAGTTTTTCCCTTATCCCTTCACCCCTCACTTTTCAAATAAACTTTCAGCACTGTTTTTAGGTTCTCATCCAATTCTTTGTTCAAGGCAAAAAAGGACCTGGAATACGTTTAATTGGTCAACCATTTCTAAAGGAACTACTTGACAACAGTGGAGGATGAAGTCATGTGAGGGTGGGTCACAGGTGGAGAGATGTAGATTACAGTGCCCCAAGAACACCCTCTACTTGCCCTCTGAACCCTCAGCCCTGCAGCCTTTAGCCAGTCTGGGTGACCTTTTAGATGCCCACTTTGGAACCAAGGCTGGTTCTCTAGCTCAGATATCTCAAGGGACAGTAGCCTTTCTGTGTCTGAGAATGCCACTGGGAGCTTGAGGAGAGACAGAGCAGCTGGTGGATATTTCAGAGGACATAGAGACTATCCCCATGTAGGATCTTGCCAAGCTGGCATTAAGGGGCTTAGAAGGAGTACTGGAGTGGGAGTAAGGTCTTAGGTCTGTGTTCTGGCCCTGCCACTTTCCTTTCTCCCAGCCTCAGTTTTCTCTTCTGGCTAATGGGAACAACATCCTTTCCTTGCCCAGTGTTTTGAGGTGTCTGTAACAGGTAGGTCTCTGAGAAAGCTCTGTTCAAGTGGGAAGTTCAGGGAAAGGGGGAAAGAAAGGAGAGGTATTGGTGTCTTCCGAGGACAATTGCAGGGAGATCTTGGCCCAGGGAGGCCATCTTGTTGCCAGGGCCAGGGTCAGAGCCAGCTGGGTGTTGGTGTTTACTGAGGCTAAGTGAGCAACTTACTGTTCTCTGGCATTGGGCTGACACATCCAGGGAGTGGTGTTTTTAGTTTTTTTTTTTTTTCAGTGTTGGAGATTGAACCCAGAACCTTGTACATGCTAGGCAAGAACTTTACAATGGCACCCAGGGGTTAGTATTTTAGCCTTTAATGGCTAAAATGGAGGGTGCACTCTCCTGGAGCAGTAGATGGGAGTGGAAGGGGGCTGTCAGCTGAGTTAGAATAAGCTGAGCCAGCCTGAAAGAGCACCACTTCATTCCTGAAGAAAATAGTCTGGGCAGCCTGCCTCCCTCTGGGTCTGAATCCTGTGTGAGGGCCACCTGAGGCCAGCCTGGAGAGACGGAGAACTGGTCTGGGCCCGGAATAGGAATCCTTATGGACAGGATTTGGTGTGTGCATGGGCTGGGGGGGCCCGACACCCACTGGGTGGTGGGAAGCCAATGACCTAGGCAGGCTGCCCTGTGACACGGGGCTGTGGAGCTGTAGTGAGCTGTGCCCAGCCCGAGAGGGATGGCCTTTCTTCAGTCTGGGCTGTCTGCTGGTCAAACCCCTTCTCAGGTTACCACTAGCGTCCTGAGGCTTTACTCATTCACTTCTCGGCTCAGGCCACCCATAGTGGCTGGAGGGGGTGGACATTTGGCCCTGCACCAGCTCTACATGATGCTGCACTAGGGGGCTGGGGGTTGGAGTAGGGGGTAGCTGCTGCTGTGCTTAAATTAGGGGTTTCTGGCCAAGTGCGAGAGGGTCAGTCCTGGGAAACGTGCCTAAATGGCCCAGTCCTTAGAGCAACCACTGCCCTTAGTAACTCTGCTTTGTGGGGTCACTCCCCCCACCAGAATCAGACTCACCACTGGCTCCTTGGGCTGCCCTGCCCAGGTAGCCTGGAATTGGCATGTATCCATAGGGAAGGTCTTCCCTGGTGTTCCCACACTCCCAGCCTTTTCTGGCCCTTGAGAAGGTGTGAGCTTCTTAGTCCTGGTCTCAGCCTCCCTTGCCTCCACCCCTACCTCCAGCTGAGAAGCGGGCAGGGCTACCACTGCTTCTGCCCCTTGTGCACTCCTATTCCCTGCCCTGCTTTAGGTTCTTGGGATCTTCTGGTGGTTCTGAGTTGTCCCAGTAAGTGCACTTGCAGCCTCACTCAAGTCAGCTCTATCTCCACCTATTACCCCACCCCACCCCCACCCCACCTCTGCCCACAGAGCCCCCATTCCAGTCCAAATCCAGGAAGCTGCCTGCAGGAACACTTGGGCTCTGGCCTGAAACCCCCCGTTCACAACTATGGATAGCGCTGTCCTTCAAACCTCGTCTGGGGGGAGCTACTCAAAGACCCCTAGGGGGGGCTGTGTTGGAGATTGGGGCTTGGGGCTTGGAGGGAAATCTGGAAGCCTGTGGCAGGAAAAAGATTTCTCCTGCACACCCCAACTCCTGCACATTTCAGTCTGCAGCCAAACCCCTGCCAGGGACAGGCACTTGTGGGGGTCACACCCCCTTGGGTCAGTACCTCTGCTGCCATGAGGTAGCTCATAACTGCAGCCCAGCCAGGGCAAGAGTCAGCCCTGGGTTCCAGGACTGGGCAAATAGACCTTCAAGGGTGGGCTTTTCCAGGCAGCCCACCTCCCACCCACCCCCTGGGTTCCCCTGAGGGTCTCCTTCAGCCCTGGGCCACCCGCAGAAGCCAGGCACCAGGGCAGGGACAGCCTGCCAACTCCCACCCAGTCTTGTCCTTCCACCCTAGGATCTTGCTGACCACCGGGGCACCTGCAGCTGCCACTCCAACTGTGTCCCATTGCATTCCGTGGGCAGAGAAGGGGACCAGCTCGGACTGTCCACTCTCCCCACCTGCCCGCCCCCGGGGCTCTGGCTACCCTGTGCCGGTGTCCCTGAATCCCCGGAGCTCACCTCAGTGGCGCTGTCTCTTCACCAGAGGCACTGCAGTGTGGGAACTGTCCCGGGGAGCCGGTTCTCAGCTGAAACAAAGAGGTGGGGGAGAAAGAGGGGGGCAGCAGGAGAGGGAGAGGGTGAGTGAGCTGGCGAAGGAGTGGAGGCTGGAGGGGGAAGAGAGAAGACAGAGGATGAGACACAAGAGAAGGGAGGGAGGAAAACGTGCTCCTGCTGCCGAGGGATAAAGCCTGATTCTCCGGACTGAAGGGCCAAGAGCAGAGGGAAGAGGAAATGGGGAGGGGGTGGAGGAGGTGAGGGACCAGATTGTGAGAAGAGACAGAGGGGCGGGGAGCAGGGACGGAGTGTGGAGGTTGGGGCAAGCGTGGGGGTGTGGGCAGGAAGGCGAGCACTGGGGGAGGCAGGGCTGTCTGGCTGGGCTGGGCTGGGCTGGGCAGAGAGGTCCCACCCCTGACCCATGCTGGGCTCTGGTCTCAGGGGAAGCTCTTGCTGGAGGGGGATGGCCAGGCAAGGGGCAAGGTGCTGGG